TGTCTACATCATTTTTATCTTTTGTGTCGCTAGTAACAACATTATCATTTTGTACGTCTTTTTCTGCATCTTTGCCTAAAATTTCTTCATCATCGTCATCGAAACAACCATCAATAAGTTTTGCTAAATCATTGTCTAAAATTAAACTATCATTATCGACAGTTGATGGGGCATCTTTATAGCATGCTTGGTAAAAGTGTGGCTCACAACTGGCCACGTGATATGAATCACCGAATTCCCCATTGCCAATGTATGTATTATTATTAACTTTTTTGATTACCCCAAGTAGCATTCCAGCAAAATGTCTCCGTATATTTAATATTACAGTAACAAGTCTCCTAGCTGCAATTAAATTAATACCCGACTGCATAACAGCAATCGGCAAGGACTTGTCAATATCAAAAGCAACTTTCAATTGCTTTTGTACTCCTTTATTCTTAGCAAGTTTTTGTCTAATTATTGCTGTGTATCTGTTTCTTAAATCAATTTTTGGTTCGGCTAGATTGTATCTAGCTCTTCTGTTTTGTCTTAATTTGAGAAAATTTTTTTTATAATAGGCCAAGTTCTTCTGTCTCTTTTGCAATAATTTTGCTATGATTTTAGATCTCTTCTTAGCTGATACACTTCTTGTTGGTAGATTTAAGTTATGCTTTATTTTATATTTTTGTCTTAGCTTGGCATTTTTTGTGTTAGCCACAGCAGCATAATGCTCTCTGGCATTATCTTTTATTTGCTGATTGTGAGAGGCATAATAGTCATTCATGTTTTTTTTCCTTTCTTCTAAATTTGCGGCATAATTATTTTTAAAATCTTCTAATCGCTCTTTGCAATTAGTGGTATAATTGTCCTTAAAACTTTCTAACCGCTCTTCATGATGAGAAGCATGATATTTTTTAGAATATTCCGATACTTTATGTTTATTTGTGGCACGATATTTTCTTAAATAATCTGATATTTTTATTTTATTTGTTGCTTGATATTTTTTTGAATAACTTGATACTTTCTGTTTATTTTGTGCACGATATTTTTTTGTATAATCTGTCACTTTTTGCTTATTTTGTGCACGATAATTTTTGGCTTTTTCAAGGCTTTTTTCATGATTTTCATAATACTGTTGTCTCGACCTCTCCCTTTTTTCCTTTAACTGTCTATCTCTGACAGTTGTATCTCCAGTAGTAGCAACTTCAAACTGTGTGACGTCACACAACTCTGGCGGGTTATGATCCCACACTGACCAATCATTACATTCTGGGGGATCAGAAAGAACCAAAAGGTCTGCATCATTAGCAGTAGAAGCCACTAGATTGATATCACACAACACTGGATTATGATCATAAACAGGGCCAGAAGCACATTCAGGCTCTGTAGCATCATCACACAACCCTTCATTAATGACACCACCACTGCATTCTACCGTAAAATTAGATTCCGTCATATCATGCTTTTGATTGCCATCATTACACTCTGCTTTTAACACAGCCCGTTTTTCTTTTTTTAGTTGTCTGCGCTTTTTAGCAGATGCTTTGCCTCTTAAATTAGGCATTGATTGTAATTATAATACTATATTATACTGTATAATTATATTAATCAACCAGGTGTTAAAGGCTGAATTTCAGACAATAATAATTACTATAGTAATTAATATTATATATAAAGCTTATCTTCAAGTCCTCTTAATGAACCAGCACTTTAATGAAGACTATGAGATAAAAACACTTAAAGAACAGTCTCAACAGATAACAAACTCTTGAGAGCAGTACTCTTCTTCAGTATCTTTACTGTCACGCGGAGTACTACAACTGAGCATGCGCTCACCACGCCCATTATAGCCACGCCCGGTTATATAAAGCAATATTCCATATTCATTAATGTTACAGCAAAATTATAAAACAGAAATTGGACATTAAACATGTAATAATGATTGCCCGCAATATTCATCAACAATGAATTGAAGCTGCAAAGTGCAAACATAATGATAGCTACAGCTACAATAGGACTTGGGCAAATGGAAAGAGTGTCACTTTACATCACTGAAGGGTTTCCTGTACAAAGTAAGACATTATGCAACCAATAACTGATGAAATGTAAGCCTACCTGTTCCACTTCTGTACAGTGTAGCCCAAGATGACAAGGTGTAGCCATTTTCGATTTTACATACGATTAAATAGAGGAATTGAGGAAATGATCTGAGCATGCGCGACCACACCTAAATTTCGAACACATGCTTCTTTAATATTAACAAAATGGCGGCATGCAGGTAAGTTGGTACTGTCTAGCAGTCATAATCATCACTTTTTCCTTACTTGAAGAATGATCTTATGGGACATGGATCTGCGCATAGTCATTTGGAGTAGAATGGTGTAAGAACTAGTCTTGTAGTACCAGCCAATATTGAGTTACACCTCGCCAACTGAATTGACAGGACTTCTTATTCTTGATGATGATGAAGATGAAAAAAGGTGGCTGAACAAAACGGCTGGTTCGCCGATTTTTGACTTTCCTCTTAGACAAGGTCTAGAGCCACGCTAGTGGTACCATTGGAGTCCTCTGGTCAAGATAAGGTCCTCTATAAAGTCTGGTAAGCATAGGAGCTCGTTTTCCCGGTATAGCAAGGCTGCAAAAGTCGTGGCAGCCATTTTGTTTGGGGGTGAATCCTACTTAGTAACGCTACCGCGTTACTAATAACGCTACCGCGTTACTAATAGTACAGGGGTGTCGACCAAATTTTGCCAAAATGTCAAGTAGAGAATTCTCTATTTTTATAACATTTTCTGATACATATACAAGTTTTTATGTTGTGTAGAAAGTTTGAGCTGATTCCGATCAAATTTGGATTTTTTATGAATTTTTAAAGTTGTTCCAAAATGGGATCAAAGTCCCTGTACTATAGTACAGGGGCGTAGGTCAAATTTGCCAAAAAT